CTGCGGCGGGGCATTGAGGAGTATTTTAAGGAGTGAAAGGCAGCCGAGTTCAAGCTCAACCAATTTCGAGTGCACTCGGTTGAAAAAATGATTTGTCCAAGCCCCAAGAAAAAAATATATTTCTTGAGTCCACCAGAACACATGCAACCAGAACACACCACATTGGGTCAACTATCACACCAGAACACATCCCACCAGCACATGTCTCACCAGAACACGCCTGTCTGGGTCGGCCTTCCCATCAGGACACACCAAACTGGGTCACCTTTCACACCAGAACACATCCCGTCAAAGCACACCAAAGTGAGTCAATGTTCTCACCAAAACACAGCATACCAGGGCTGGTATATGCACTAGAACACACGAGTGTGTTCTGGTGTATCCACTAGATTACGCTAGAACACACCAGACACACTCTGGTGGCATCTTCAACTGGGTAGCAGGCAATATATATTGTAACAAGAGAGTGTCGCTTGTTTTTGATCTTGTTCCTCTGAAAGGGAATTGCTTTGACTTGGTGACGCACATGCACATGTCACAATATAGGCGTAAACATCTATTTCCGCGGTTAGTAGCGTTTCAGCAATAGATTCACCAATAGAGCAGCACAATTCACTCACCAAGTGGCTAGTGTATTTCACTCACCTGCATTTTACCACCTTTTTTAGTGCGGTGCTAGTGCATTTATTGACAAGTGAACGGTTAGTATTTAGAGAGAGTTGGCCTATTTTGGGATATAAAGGATTTGCTCAGATGAGACAGCGACAGTGTAGGAGCGCAATGTGCGTGAGTGGAGAGATGCCTGTGGTTTAAAGACAAAGATGACAATTTGACGTGCAGAACGTGGCGCAATAGCGGGCAGAACGTGGCACATATGAGCGCCATTCACAGGGGCTCAGAAGAGTTGAGGAAAAAGAAGAACGAAGAAGCAAGGCAGAGTTGGGAGGAGCGTGCCATGGGTGCAGAAGGAACGGCTGGACGATTTTCGGGCTAAGTACCGCCGCAGCCGCCCAACTGGCATCACATCAGGCCTCAAGTTTTTTCCGGGTGCGTGGAGCCAGGAGATTGAGGCTAGTTTTCGCGATGCGAGTTTACTATTTATTTTACCCCCTCAGCTCTCATCGAGCGCCGCGTCTGCTGTCATGGCATCTTGAGTGCTCAACCTGTTATGCTATCACCAAACGCCCGCGATTCTATAGCGTTCGTGACTTTTTCCTCTAAAAGGTGAAACTTTTTTATTTTTCATCTTTTAGTATATATGATTGTACCAATTTCACTGTGTTTGTTATTGCACTATCTGTCACGTCCATGCGCTCTCTAAATATTCTGTGTTCGTCTTATTCGTAAACAAATAGCCGCGTGCCTTTCGATGACTATGCGTCATCATTTTTTTTTCCTGCACTAAAGCGAAGCCCCTTCAGCTTCGTTACAATGGCGTCCACGCAGGACACAGCCATTTGCGACACAATGTTGAAGAACACAAAAATATGCAGCGTGTCAAAAAATGTGGAAGATCCAACGTACCTAGAATCGAGGTTATGCAAAGTATACGGTGAGAAGGTGACAATGTTGCAATTTTTTATTGAGTGAGACGTCATAAAATGAGGCTAAATATATGTGCAAATGTAGCACGCACAGACATATGTTGAAGACTTGCAGATGTTTGTATAACCATTTGTTTGTACTTGCGTAACAATGCCAGCTGGTACGTGCGTAGTAGCAACACGAGAAGCTGATATGAAGCGCTGATGCTCGCGATGACGCTGACCTTGGACAGTGCTACACAAATCAACTTCAGCGCAAAACAACTAACCACAACTGACGTTAATCCGACGTGATGACTGTATCAAAGGAATACATATGTATTGTTTATGGAATTGGGTAGGCAGCACTGAAACCGGTATTCCCCTTTAACAAAAATTAGCGTCCTTTTGAAAAGCAGTTCCGAGACCTGGCTTAGCTCTGGGGTAAAATGATTCATGGCCACGCAGATTGCTTGGGTTTGATTTTAGCTGGAACCTTAACACATATTGTGTGCATTTGTCGGGCGGGTGCTACCGATGTCGCGTACTTAACGCTCACGAGTTAAACTTCCCATGCCTGTTCCCGTCGTTCCTGGGTGGATACGAAGATTCAATCACCTGTGGCACATACCCGCATACCAGTGCCACGTACCGGCCCGTGGATATGTACCACTGTCTGACGGGAAGTGTTTGACGACGTACGTGATGGAATTGTGAAACTGTTCATGTCTGGAGCAGTGCATGGCGTTTGTCGAACCATCTCACCCTGCTGTGCTAACTTTGGTTCACGCCAAGTCAAGGGGGTGACCACGAGAGCACCCTAACGTAAGTGGCTAGATAGATAGATAGATAGATAGATAGATAGATAGATAGATAGATAGATAGATAGATAGATAGATAGATAGATAGATAGATAGATAGATAGATAGATAGATAGATAGATAGATAGATAGATAGATAGATAGATAGATAGAGAGATAGATGCGCTCAACCTCGCCGAAGTTCGCTTGGAAGTGCTTCGCAATTTAAAGCTAGTTGAGTTGGGAGAGTGCATGGGTCTTCAAATGGTCTAGCTTGGGTTGATTAGCAGATGACGATGGAGTATGCGCGTCGCGCTACCACAACTAGAAATATCAGAGTTGGCAGCGCAATTGCGCATTGACAAAGTTCATCACCAAACCATATCGATATTCCAGAACAGATGGTTACGACTCTTAGAGCGCAATGTGGTCTGATGCCTCCCTATGTTGCAGCGCAGCGTGAGGTAGCTACTTTTGAGGCACACCTTCTAACCAGAAGCACAGCACCTAAAAGAAGACCTCACCCAAGTAATGTAGAATTTCATCCCAACGTTGAATGAAAGCGCCCAGATGTCAGTCAGCAACGTTGCCTAAACGTGCTTAACGTCGTCTTTTTTTGATCACACGATAACGTTGCTTGTAACATTCAGGACGATATGGCAACGTCCAGGATCACATTTTCAACATCACGGCAATGTTTTTGCAACATAGCAGCAACGTAATGTCAACATTCGAGCAACGTGCTGTCAACATACGAGCAACATGATGACAGCATACCAGTAACGTGATGTCAACATTGCTGTGTGATGTGACTTTCATACGACGTGCGCAGAAAATATGTACTACTGTGTGTGCGTTATTATCAAAAGGCATGTTGACTTGCTACAGGAACCACCCCGAAGCTTCTGGCTAGAAAAAAGCTCTGGTATGGTTTGAAAAATTGCAATATTGTTGTCCATACGGAAAAACTGTTTCCTAACAGCTCTTTATGAACGCATTCGTACATGCATAAACAAGTCGTGTTGGAACAGCCAAGCTAAGAAAATGTCAAAACACAATTGTGCATGTCCGTAAAATCAAAAACACACTTTTGAAATCCCAAAGATTCCAACACATGTGATATACATACTGCATTTTTAGACCATTGAAAAATGCGGCTTTGCTCTGTGTAAGCAATGACTACAATGAGTGAATATGTGCTGAGGATGCATTATTTTTGTGTGCAGAATCGCAGCATTCATGCAGGTCATGCAGTCACACAGCTTAGGCGGGAAAGAACAAGCCGAAGTGCCTGAATGCCATATGAAAGAAAAAAAGAAGACATTTAATTACCAAGAATACTTACTTCTTATTTATTTGTCATTGCCACAGAGCAAGACGTGAATGTCAGTGTAACAAAACACAACTTAAGCATTCAGTAATGAATATGAACCAGGCACAATGTAAGTTTCTTTCATACTATGTCAACTGCTGTGTCATAAAAACAATTTCAGCTGCAAATTGAAAACATAACTTATTTCTACAATCATAGAAAAAGTTTGACGAAAAAAGATTTTATCCATTAACATTTATAATATCAGTGGGAAAGGGAATAGTGAAGGAAGAAGACACTGGCGAAACTGTTGTGTGTTAAATACTTAGGCAGACACGAATACCATAGACAGCCATTGCCTTGTCGGTAATTTTCCATCAGTGATGCATGCATTGTATACAATGATGGTTGCCTCGGCGGTTGACTGTCTTTGTCATGATCTCATGAACAGAGACAATATAGCAGCATTCAAAAACTGGCAGATCCCAATTATGTGCAGCTTGTTCCAAACGGAGCTTAAAAGGTTGAAAACAACTTGTTTTACCAAAAACAGAAAAACCTGCCGATATCTGTGTAGCAAAACATGTTGCCCATCAAAAGAAGCCTTATAAGTTTGAGAGCAACTAAACTTCATGATTACTGCCTGATCCGCATTCGGTGAAAAGCGGCTCATTAAATGTGGACGATTGAATACATAAAAAATAGCCTAAGAAAGTTAAGGACAACCGACACCAGGTCAGAAAAAGCGAAACGCGATCAGTGGAACGACTGCTCAGTGTGATTCACGTGAAACAGTAACCTCCCAGCCACAACCAAGCGAGAAATATTGATCACAAAACGAATGCACAAGGCATGCAACCATTTTTTGTTCAGTTCATTACCGAGGTGTTGTACTTTTGTCCATTGGATGATCAAACTGCCTTGACACAATTATTCTTGTTCATTCAGTTTAGATTTTATTATTTGTATCTAGAGTTATCTTTTGATTGTTATGCACTGCTCTGCATGCCTGTCTAGCATTTTTCATTTATGCATTTCTTGTGTTGTGTGAGCCACTAATTTTAGCATTTCAACATTTTTAGATTTGCAGTGAATGCAGCTTCCAAGTTGATACTTTGTAGCGAGTGGTTATGTGCATCTTTGGAAAAGTGGCAAAGTACTCTCACTTGTTTGCGGAAGTTGTTAGAAAGAAAGTTGATTTTTCGAAAGTATTCAGAACGAGTATTATGACCTAGTACCCTATTTCTCACAAAAATATAGCATCATAATTGTCCACTAAGGATACACGTTTGATTGTTGGCACAGGAACAACAGCAGACACAGGAAATGCAATATTTTAGAGTAGAATGGCAAATGGACATTTACCTGCATCACCATCATAAAGCAATTAACAGCCATACTGCCACAACATTGCACATGCCCAGTAGAGTTCACATATGCAAACTGAGCAGCATGTTGAAGTTGCCATACTTTGCTCAAGAATTTGCCACTGTGGTTCGACTTGAGCGAACAAGCTCGCCAGGTCAGGGTACGTCCAAGAGGGGTACACTGTCGACGATGCCGGCAAACAGCATGTGCAGAGTGATGGCTGTGACGACCGTGGAACAAGCCATGAAGCGAGCCAATCGGTTGGCAATGAGGGCCTGCATTATGAAGAGGAAGTAATTAGACCCATACAAGTAGCTAATAAGCAAACAGAATAATTGAATGGGAACAGTTCTCTAAAAATTGCAGAGACTCGGTTGACAAAGTCTGTCTGCAACATCCTATGGAAGCCGTGTCAGGACTGACAGAAAGCTATGTAATAATCCATCAGTGAAAAAACATAGCAGTTAGCAAACCTAAATAGAGCAGAGATGAAATTTGTGAAGCTTTGCTTAGCTAAATGATTGGCTCCTTACTCATTATTGATGGCAAAGAATCAACATTTCGAGCTTATTTAGGGTCTTATTTTAGTTCTTCAGCTCAAACATAATCAGTCTACATAGTTATTTTCTGGGTGGCAATGTTCGTTGACTTAATTATTATAAATGATGCACAAAGAAAATCGTTAATAGTTTAACATTGCCACATACTACGGTGCTTACGAAACAGATGGCACTCACAGCGTAGTATTACTTTCTGTCACTCCTCATCAGCTGCATTGGTAGCAATGTAAGATGAAATTCTGCTGCTCAATTTATTCTTCCGGCACGTGCATGAGTACCTAAAACAAAATAAACAAATTTTATCCAAAACATCAAATAAAATTACCAGCATGTTTTTGGTACACCACAGTATGCAGCAGAGTTATAACTAAGGAGCAGATGTAAAAATGTTCTAAAAGACAGGCCAGTTCATAATTAAAAATATAGACCCATACTTAACACAGCAAAATATAGCATGAACTACGTAGACCTTTCGTCAAATATGCAGCTGGAGTCCTCAGTATTCCCTGGCACCAAATGAGCGGAGGTTACACAGTTTGCTGCTTGCCTCGTATGTCGCTTAGTATACAGCCGCGGTCGTTGTCACGCGCCAACGTGTCACAATATCGAATCACGTCTCGAGAAGTTTTCTCTTGCCCCACTTTTTTCCCGAGCTAGCGTCGTCTCATTACTAAAGTCGAAGGCATGTCCCGTCGTCGAGCAAGTGTTCGACGAGTTTTGTCTAAAAATGCGTGCCATGGGTGGCTTTTGCATTGTCTCCTTTTTGCTCTTTGAGCACTGTTGGTCGCTTCCGGCCTATTTCACTCATGCATGTGGTGTTGTATAGATCACTGATCAGCACTTGCAGTCATAAACACAGAAAACGTGATTTTGAATTGTAACGAAGCCATTAGGTGAGCAGGTTTATTAATGGCACCCAGAAACACATGCAAAAGGAAACAAGGATAGTGCCGCAGGAAAACACAAAACCCATTCTTTCTGTACTTTACGTTGAAGGTTTTTCAGACTCTGTTCGAATAGCACTTCGTTCACTGAGAATTAAAACAATTTTCAAGCCTCATTGTACCTTGGTAAACGTGCTCTCTAAGTAAAAAAACAGCACTTCTGCGAATGATCAAAACAGGGTTGTTTACAAGTTCCTGTGCGGTGGCTGCGACACCACTTATATTGGCAAAACTGGCAAGAAAGGTCAATGAGGTTTAATTAACACAAAGGGGACATCACAAAAACCACGCATTCTCAGACAAAACTCATGAAACACTGCTTGAAAATGGGGCATGTCTTTGACTATCGTAATTCGATGACGCTGGCTCGGGAACAATAGAGAGGGAAGAGAAAGCTTTTCGAGTCGTGGTTAGACCATCGTGACCAGACAGCGTGCAACAACAATCACGGCCTTTATCCGGATGAGTAGACACATACGAGACAATCAGTGAATTTGGTCACCTCCAGACATTCGGTGCCAGTGCACACTGAGGATGCCACTCACATAGGAGGCGAAATCTCTCTGTAGATTCGTTATACTTTGTTGTGTAATGTCGGAGTACATATTATAATCACTAAGGAGCAGAGTTTTATTTCTATCTTAATTGGCATATGTTAAAATATTTCCAGAAAAAAAACCGTTTATTAAAACAAAAAACACATATTTATAAACTTTCTTTCTACCTTTGTGTACATAATTCCCTCCTGAGGCAAAATAAACATTGCTACTCAGCATTCATGCCATGCGTTGACTACCGATAATCTACTATTCCAAAATTATGCTATTGCCAGTGAATTGTTTTCTTGGAAATTATTATCTATGCGTCTCTTCTATTTGGCTACACCGCTTGTGTCAATTCAAGAAGTTCAACAGTTGACTACCAAATTTTTGGTTAGTAGTTAGCTCAACGAGTGCTGCTCACTCTATCAGAATGCTCCTTCTAAATTTAGAGCATTAAAACAAACTTGACCCAAATTCATGAAATTGCCTTAAGGGAAATTTCTCAAATTTCAAAAACTGAACAAGCTTATTTTTTGCTCTACACTTTGTCGTATAAAATTGAAAATTTACGTACTCCCTCGTCATGAAAACACTGTATCAGTGGCTTCGCAGAGGCATTCCCTTGAATATCATGTTAAGCTGCAAATTCACAACAAAGCACGGCTTACTCACGTACAAAGCCTAGCCTTCATTATACTGGTATAACTTATATTAGCAACATTTTGCCCCGTGCAAAGACACAGAATAGCTGCATTTTACGACATTTTGTTCACAACAACCCGTCTCTTGACACTCAAATTACTCTAATATGCATCACTATATAATGCCTCTGTCGGAGCTTGAAGCACACTGATGAAAAACAGAGAAAAAGGCAAAAGCTTCAAAATTACACTTGAGAGCAGCTTCTGTTCCGATAAATCATTTCTTTTAAGGTTTCTGAAGATTTGCCTGTTTCTTTTAAACATTGCTAGCAGACCGCAGCTTGCTAACAGTCTTTGTGATGCAGCACCTTGATGGGCTTGATGACAGACGTCCCTGCGGCATATGTAGGCTTCCTGTCCTGCTACTTCCATTTCTTTACCACTGCTTCACATCGTGCACTTTTCCTTCAACAGAAGTGCTAAGATGGCTCCCTTTTCCGGGCTTTACTCTGCAGCCGGTAGCATTATTCACTGCCAGTGCTATTGATATTCGTTCTGGGAACCCTTCAGGGGAATTGTAGCGAGTTGAGAGACACGAGTTATAGCTGGCAAGGTTTGCAAACCAATTTCAGGGGACGTTAAATGTCACCTCCTCTACTTGATCACATGGCCACAAGATGTGGCAGTTTGTAAAACTTACCAGAGCAGAGCACACGTGCTCTACCGTTACCTTCAACAGTGGAGCCCTCTGGCGATATACTGCGGGTGTCGCGCATGATCCGCTTGATACTTACGTCGCTACATACAGAATTTACCCAGAAAACTATTCTTACTACTTCCTTGCTATCATTACACAAAGCCCCCTTTTCTTGCCTTGCAGTGAGCGAAAAAATGGTGATTTCATTGGCATGAACGACGGAAGGAATTCACCAGCCAAAACATTACTAGCCTCAAGCATCGCTAAACAGAAGTATTGGTCGCCACTTTCTTTTTCTTTCTCACATAGCTACTTGAAACCTTCAAGATTCTGAATGGGGATTGGGGTGACATCGGTTATGATATGGTGCAAGTGTGGTGAGCCAACAGAGGGAAATATGAGGTCAAGCAGCGCAACATTCATACTTAGAGGGCGGTCTCACACTTACATACACAAATGCAGTGCTCAGATTTGGTGAAACATATGAGAGTCAATTCTTTCAGCTGTAAAACGAGTTTCACTCGCACCGCAATTAATTTGTAAGACAGATGCAAATTGCACCCGCTGAACATTGAACAACGAATCTATTGATATCATATTCACGCAGAATTCTAATCCAAAATGTGGGTATTTATTTTATTAGGCCTTAGGCAGTATTCAATTCAGTGTGAAAAGTTAATTATATTCGCGCGCTCCTACAAAATAAACGGCACAGTCTACATGGTTGGGAAAGTTTAGGGGCCTTATCAAGCACGGAAAGTGCCTGTCACTGCCTACACAAGTGCTAAATAAAATTGCTGGTTCACATCATAGATCACCAAAATTTTTGAAATCATGAAGTCATCAAGTGACATCACCGCTTGGTCTAGATTGGACAGATCCCTGAAAAACTGACAAACCGCATGAGGTGCACAAAGCTTTTGGCGAAGGAATGCAGTCGACCGAGAAGCAGAAAAGGACGGCTGCTTCAGCGTTCCAATCTTCCAAGACAAACGCATATAGGATCTCGTGAGTATTTTTGAGGTGGAAATTTCACACCCTCCTGTGCACTTACTGGGATTTCAAGAATGCGACGGTAGACCTGTCAAAATCTGATCAGGTTGTGCACGTGGTACTGCAGATATTTTCATGCCAGGTTTGGAACAGCAGCACAGTGTTGTGGTATACGAAGTGATCACACAAAACGATTGCTTCATTAGTGCTCACCTATGTGAATACTCATAGCACTAGCATGTGATATAGCTATCGCGAAAACTCACGTGCAGTCTTTTTTTCAAGGTTCCGATTCTTTTGTTTCAAACTTGAAATTGCCTGCCCCCTCCCACCCCCTTTGTGCTTTTACCATCTTGAGTGTCTGGACAGCAAGCTAACTGATTGGGATTGCATTTGTCATTTGGGAGGTGCAGGGAATAGGCGGCTCAAACATTTATGGCAGCACTTAGTGAGCACTCGAAGAAGTTCATTGGAGAAATACGCTTGAGAGCGTCTACGTTTTCTGTGAACGTCTCATTTTCTAAGTGTCTTTGGTGGCCGATGCTGAGAGTAAATGCGTTATGTCCCGCTATGTTAAGTGAAGGCCGGGTGCCTAGAAACTAAGATATAACACGACCTACATGATCGAACAGATTATTTGCCAAAGCTAAGCTGTGCTAGAGGTCAATGGTGACCATCTTCTCTATTTCGTGCAGTCCAAGCTTTATTCCTGCTACCTCTCTGCTAGACCAGTCACTGCCCACTACAACAAGCAAATTGCATCACATCAATGATATTCGAGGACACAATCATCATTTGCAATACATGTATTACCATAATTCAGAGGAAGTATTACGGTAGCAAACACATTTTTATAAAG